ATATTATTTTTTTATAATTAAATCAATCATTACATAATTTAATCTTTTCCTTTCTTTCTTTTATAATAAAAGCAATCATTTTATGAGTTAATCCTCTTTCGAGGCCACGTTTTCTTTCTCTTTTTTTTTTTTTTTTTTTTTTTTTTGGTAAGAAGAAGCCACGTTTCCTGAGATGTCTCTTTCTGAATTTAAAGGCCAAAGACTTTTGAAGTTGCCAGTCCTTTCACGCGGAAGGGAAGCAAAGACAAAAATCAGAATGAATGGCTTCTGAGACGTCTCATTCTGAATTTAAAGGCCAAAGACTTTTGGAATTGCCAGTCCTTTCACGCAGAAGGAAAGCAAAGACAAAATGCAAAAATTCTTTTTAAACTCTCAAATTTATCACAAAATAATATTTAATCTATTAAATTAAAAACAAAACAAATAAGCCCTTTAACTCTATTAATAATATAAATAAGTCCTTCTAATAAACATGCCAAACAGTGCATCTCACGGTGAATTAAGGATATCTTTGAAATTATTGTAAAATGCTATGATGATAGTTATAGTTGTAGTTGTATTGAATTGCATTATATTGTAACTGTAATTAAAAGTGATTTTAAAATTTGATTATTTATTTTTAAAAGTATTATGGATGAAATATGATAGATTTTATTAATTATTAATTAACAATTAAAAATATTATAAAATAAATAATTATTAAAATAGATAATATTTATTATTTTTAATAATTTAAATTTTTTAGATTTGTTATCATTATTAAAATATTATAAATTATAATATAAAATTAAATTTTAATAAGTAATTTTATAATTATATTAAATATTAAGTATTACTCATAAAAGTTACAGTTAAAAAATTTCAAAATGAGATTTTTGATTTTATATATAAAATTATAATAAATCTGTTATGATTTTTTATGACTTTTAAAAAAATAATCTAAAAAAAATTATCAAACACATAAATATTTAAAAATATCATATGAATATATCAAAAAATTCTTAATCACAATCTCAATCGCAGCTTAGGCCTTATCCTTTTTGGACTTCCATTAATTCACATAAATGCATATGTTGATGTGTCACCATTCCATATTTCCATGCACACATATAAATTGACGTGGATAAAGATAAAAGGCTAATTTCAAGTTTTATTTTTTTTATATTTTAAACTCCAAATTTGTTGTCTTGTCTTTTATTTGAGCAAAATTCATTCAAATTCTATTTGTTTTATATATATACATAGAAAAATAAATATCAATCTCAATTTTTAAAAAAATTAATATTTTAATATTAAATTACATCATTTTGTTAATTAAAATTTAGTTAAAAATTTTAAAATTTTATTTTATTAAATATTAATATTTAAATTTAAAAACTAATTAAATTTTTAAATTTTGAATTAAAATTTTAATTTTTAAATAT